GCCATCCTCCTCCCCTCCAGTTTCTCTGGGAAAAACATAATCTAACAGTGTAGCTATCCTTTAGAGGGCAAGGGTTCCTGGCCTTTTTCTAAATGTATTTAAATGCATAAAACAAAATAAGTAATGAAACAAGCTATCTGAAATTTAGGGGAAAAAATCCATGGCTAAGAACCTGATGAATAGTTAGTTTCTATTCCTTCAAACAACCTCAGACTTCCAACTAGTATTTAAATAGAGAATATTTATTCAAAATATTAAGCACCTGCTATGGCATCAGATATTGTGTTAGACAGTCAAAAGACAAAGAATAACACTTTCCTACAGGAAGTGCACATTGTCCTCACTCCAGGTGGGTTTTTTGTTTTGTTTTGTTTTAACCCCATTCCTCTACTCCAGAATAGTGAGACTTCAATCCATCAAAATTCACCATTCAAAGATTTTGACAACAATCACACAATCTTCAATATTTCCTCAGTGAATCTAGGCTCTCATTGATGTGGACACTCGTCCAATGACATAGATCTCAACTCATCCGTATCTTGTAATCTAATGTGCTTCTTGCCCATGTTTCCCCATGGATCCTCTATAGATTCGATATGCAAATTTACTGGAGGATTTCCCAGTGGGTGCAGCAATTGGGCTGTCTCTTTTCCTTCACTCTATGCCTGACTGGCCCAACTCCTTTTCCGAAGTACATAGGTTTGCTTAATAGTATTTTTTTTCCAATTACATGTAAAGATAGTTTTCAACACTCATTTTTGTAAAAAATTTGAGTTCCAAATTTTTCTCCCTCCCTCCACTGCCCCCTCCCAGACAGCAAGCAATCTGATGTAGGTTACACATGTACAGTCATGTTAGACATATAAAGTACATAGGTCTGGAAGAGCGTGCAGGTTTGGAAGGAAGGAAAGAACAGAGGAAGGAAGGAAGAAAAGAGGGAGGGAAGGAAGAAAAGAGAGAGGAGGGAAGGAAAGAAAGAAGGAAAGGAAAGAAGAGAAAGAAAGAACAAGGGAGGAAGGAAGAAGGAAGGAAGAAAAGAAAGGAATAAACAAAAAGGAAGAGAGGAAAGATAAGAGCTATGCTTTAGGAAGATTAAGCTAGCAATGGTACATAGGATAGACCGGAAGGGGAAAGATGAAATGAAAAAGACCTACTGGGAAATTATTGCAGTAGTACAAGTGTGAACTAGTAGTTAGTGAAAGGAATGGCAAGGAATAGATGGACTCAGCTTGTGCCTGGAAGAATGGTGAGGACATTGGCAAAAACTGGGAAGTCAGGAGGAGGAGCCAATTTCAGGAAGAAGATCTATTAAGATATCTTGATTCTGAGATGGCATTCAGGTGATGTCAAGCAAGTAGTTGGAAATGGAAGTGGAGATGTCATATCTACCTCAGAGAGCTTCTTAGACTGTGAGTCATGAATGCCATATTTGGTCTTGACCCACAGTTTAAGAAATGCTGAAGGGTAGCGAGTGGAAAAAGTTTAAGGACAAGGTTTTAAAAAACCTTCCTTTACCCTTACCCACTGTCTACTTGAAGCTTTAAGTCATCATAAATAATACTTTGATTTATCACAAAATAAATACCTACATCCCATGGAGAGTGCGATTTTCTGGCATTAAAGATGTGTGGGCATTTGTAAAAAGTTATAATATATGTCCCTCCTTACACTCTTCCGTGGGCCACACTGCCTGTAGGTCAGGGGGACAAAAAAGGAACATGGGGAATATTTGGTAAATGATTATATTATCCTATTTGTATTATTATGTGCATATGCATGACAAATTCTGGAATTTATTTCCTTTCATATTGAATAGGGGGCATGGGAAAGTTTACTGAAAGTCAAGTTGTATTGGGACCAAAAATGTTGGAGACCCCTGTCCTGGGTGCTGCTAATCTCATCTACTCCTAGTCCAAGTTACACACCTCCCCAATTGCCCTTCCCTAACTCCCACGTCTAGATGATGCTCCCTTCTAATCAAAGGATTTCCTAAAGCCAACTCTTGCTGCCTTTGACATATGGTTCTAAATTCTTCCTCCTTTTCCCTGAGTGGTGGGGAGGTGGAGGGAAAACACTTCCTTTTCTGTTGTCTGTCCACTCACAAGGAATATGGAACTCTCTCCAACTATCCTCTGGAAGAACCTAGCTATACCTACTCCTGGTTCCTCCTCGTGGGCACAGAGTCACTTTGTCCCCAATTGATTCCAAAATGGGAAGGAGGGATAGTGGGCCTGAAACACCTTGAGCTTCCTTCTTCCTACCCCCTACCCCCAGAGTTGGAGGAGGCCCATCAGAAGTGCCCACCATGGTGGTACAAGTGCGCCCATACGCTGTTGGTGTGGAATTGCTGTGCTCCATGGGTGAAGTTAAAGAAGATCGTATACCTGATTGTCATGGACCCCTTTGTGGACCTGGGCATCACCATCTGCATTGTTCTCAACACAGTCTTCATGGCCATGGAGCATTACCCCATGACTCCCCAGTTTGAGCATGTGCTCACTGTGGGCAACCTGGTACAGAGGGGGATGAGGGGATGGAGGGATTTCTATGGAGAAAGGGAGCAGAGGGCTGGGTGGATGTGGTGAATTTCTGAGTGTATGTAGGGGAGTGTGAGGGGGGAGTCTGTGGGTGAATAGAAGGATGAATGAATAAATGAATTAATTAGTAGTGAAGCATTCAGTTAAGTGCTCACTATGAGCAAAATACTGCATTAAGTGTTGGGGGTACAAATGAAAAAGCAAGACAGTCCCTGTTCTCAAGGAGTTCCCATTCTAAATGAGAGGAGGTTAAACCAGATGGCTTCTGAGGTCCCTTCTAGCTCTGAATCTATGATCAATAATTGGGGAGACTTCATGGCAAAAATTTCAGCAGCAAGTCAGATGAAAAGGCCAAGTGGTCCTTAGGGTGCAGATGGCAAGACCTTTTATTTAGAGTCATTGCCATTGAGAAATCCATATCTGTTTCTGATGATGAAGCATTTGACAATGCTGAGGACTTTTTTTTACTGGGTTTTCAGTAAGTGTACCCCCTTAGGAGGTACAGCTAAGTAGCACAGTGGATAGAGTTGCAAGGTCTGGAGTCAGGAATACTCATCTTTGTGAGTTCAAATCTAGCTTCAGACACTTACTAGCTGTGTGACCCTGGGGAAGTCACTTCACTCTGCCTCAGTTTCCTCATCTGTAAAAAAAAAATAAGCTGGAGAAGGGAAATGGCAAACCTGCTCCAACTTCTTTGCCAAGAAAAGCCCAAATAGGGTCAAGAAGAGTCCAGCATGACTGAAATGACTGAACAACGACAAACCCCCTTAGGAGACGGACCCTGCAGTACCTGAAGAGGGAGTTTCCAGGTCCAGTCTCTGTGAGGGTTTCTTCTCTGGAGGAAAGCTAAACGGATCTGGCTGGAGGCAGAGCTGAAGTGGGGGGGTGGGAGGGAGTTGCTATTACCTGGGCTCTTGGGTTTACCTGCCCATTGCTGGCATGTATAATAGACATAACAAAACATGGCTCTGCCCCTTGTCATCCCTATGGCTGGTCGTATGGATCGTGGGCAGGTCACTTCTTTTAAGACTTCAGTTTTTTCATCTCTAAAATGAGGTTAGATTAACTAGATAATTTTTGAGTTCCTTTCAGCTCCAAACCTCTGAGCCACATGTGAAGGTGTCTGGAGGATGTCTGTGATTGTATGGATGATGGTGGGGGTATGTGGATGTCTGTGGGAATGTCCTGAGGAAGTATCTGGAGGTATATATAGCTATGTTTTAGGGTTCTTGGAGATACCTGGGCAACCTAGGTCACTGAGAGTGTGATGGGTCTTTGGTGCTAGCTTGTCTTGGAGAAGGGGATCCATGTCCCAGGGTCCCAGTCTCTTCCTGGAACAAGGGATACAGAGGACAAACCCAGAATGAGGGATATGCGGGCTTAGGAATTGTTGGGCTCCAGTCTCTAGTCCTAAGGTTTCCAAGCCTGCCTGCCTGCCCATCTGCCCCAATTTCCCTTCTCCACCCTCCCTCTCTATTGTTGACATGCACTGATCTCTGTGCTTATCCCCTCACCATTAGAAGCATTAGCACCTCATTCCCAGCCCTTGCTGGGAGCCAGGCCCAGACAAAAGGAAGCTGAGCCTTCTCTGGTCCTTGCTTTAGCTCCTACCACAATGGATTTGGGGAGAGTTGGGTCCTGAGAAACCTCCTATGTGGAGAGGCAAGAGATACCGAGGAAGAATGGGAATCAGCCCTGGGCCTAGAGTAAAACCCTAGAGATAGGGGCCTCAGGGGTGAGAGCTGGGGTATAGATGGAGTGACAAGCGGCGGGACTGGGACGGCCAAAGGGGCCCTGAGGAATGTCCATCCAGAGACACAGGATCAGGTCTGGAAACGGGTTTTCCCTTTGATTAAGCCACACAGCTGTTCTAGGGTGTGTTCCACTGACTGGTCCCTGGACCTTTGCTGTTTTCTGTGGTCTGGGCACCTGCTATGACCAAAGAAGGCTCCCCAGAGAGGGCTTTAGCATACGCCTGAGGCAGGTGGGGAAAGAGGCCCTTCTGAGGGCCTGTGTGTCCGTGGGTTAGGGCTTGAGACCCCTCCCCCTATGGCTTTGAGGCTAAGCAGCTCAAATCTCAGCATGAAATCAGGATCAGGGATCTAATTGACACCCAGGGAGACAGGGCTTTTGAAATGTATGGGTCTCAGTTCCCTCATCTGTCTCCCACTCTGCCCTGGAGGGCACCCCTACCCGACCTTATCTCCGAAATTCCATCTCAGGCACATAAAGTCAGCAGCACCTGAAGTTTAATCAGGAAAAGAATTCCTTCGGTCCATACCAGATTTGCTTTGTGTACTTTGCACATAATGAGTGTTTAATCAATGCTTGTTGAATTTGGCGGAGACAGGTGCAGAGCCAGGGTGCAGAGGCCTCTGGGGCTGTGCCCAGCTCTGCTCTCTTGCCACTGTTTCCTACCAAGCCCAGGGAACAGATTGCTGCTGAAGCTCATGGCCCTGGGTTCCTTTCTCTGATGTCCTGTGGTTCTCTAGAAACTGTAAGGAGGGGGGAAAAGGGAAAGAAAGGGAACAAAGCATTTACATAGCTCCTACAATGTACCAGATACTGTACTACATACTACATAAATATTATCCTATTTGATCCTTACAATCCGGGAAGGCAGATGCTATTACTATTTCCATTTTACAATTGAGGAAACTGAGACAAAAGTTAAGTGACTTGTCCAGGGTCACACAGCTCATACATGTCTGAGGCAGGATTTGAACTCAGGTTTTTCTGATTCCAAGGTCAGGGCATCATCAGTTACTATTGTGGACAGCCCTGGGCCCCCCTTTCTTGATGCCTTATGGTTGTTGAGAAGCCATAAGGGGAGAATTCCAAGGGAGTAGGCTCTGAAGGGGGATTCCTGGAATGTATTTTACGCGTTTGGGAGGGAGGGAGTCATTTTGTGAATGACGGGGAGGAGATTAGGGAGCAGTTGTAACACTGATCGTTTTCCCCAGGTTTTCACAGGCATCTTCACCGCAGAGATGGTGCTGAAGCTGATTGCAATGGATCCGTATGAGTACTTCCAGCAGGGATGGAACATCTTTGACAGTTTTATTGTCACCTTGAGCCTGGTAGAGCTGGGGCTGGCCAATGTACAAGGGCTCTCTGTGCTTCGATCCTTCCGCTTGGTACGTGCCTAGCCTGGGGTTGCCTGGCAGTCCCCTTCCTCATTACTCTGGGGACTCCTAGGGTTGGGAACCATGTCTTCTTTCTTGGACTGGGAGCTCACTGAAGGCAGGGACCAGGTCTCCTACATCAGGCTGAGAGCCCCCTGAGATTTGGGACAGTGTCTCCTCCATTGTACTGGGAATTCCAAATATTGGGATCATGTCTAGACTAGAAGCTCCCTGAGGGCAGGGATTATGTCTCACCAGTAGGATTGTGAACTCTACAAGAGCTGATTCAATGTCTCCCCTGTCCCATCATCATCATTTTCATATAACCACTCTTTTAAAATCGGGCAGCTGGGTGCTGCAGTGGATAGAGTGCCTGACCTGGAGTCAGGAAGACTCATCTTCATGAGTTCAAATCTGGTCTCAGATGCTTACTAGCTGTGTGGTCCTGGGCAAGTCACTTAACCCCATTTGCCTCAGTTTCCTCATCTATAAAATGAGCTGGAGAAGGAGATGGCAAACCACTCCAATATCTCTGCCAAGAAAACCCCAAATGGGGGGTTTCAACAACAACAACAACAACAACTTCCTGACTCTAGGCCCAGTACTCTATCCAATGTGCCACCTGGCTGTCTAAAGTGTACAACACTGTGCTAAGCCCAAGGGAACATATAATGATAATTAGAACACACTGCCTGCCCATATAGAACTTAAAATGTAGCATGGGGCATATGGTACAAATATTCAATACTATGTAATAAGTATATAATAACGCTAGTAATGAATAAAATATAATATGACTACAAAGAAGTACAAAGTCTTATTGGAGGCTGGATTATTTCTGACCAGGAGGGAGGCTCAGGGAAGACTTTCTGGAAGAAGTGTTTTTTGAGATGGATCTTAAAGGATGGGTAAGATTTCTAAAGTTAGAAATAGACTATTCTTGGGGCAGCTAGGTGGCGCAGTGGATAGAGTACCGGCCCTGCATTCAGGACCTGAGTTCAAATCCGGCCTCAGACACATAACACTTTACTAGCTGCGTGACCCTGGGCAAGTCACTTAACCCCAATTGCCTCACCAAGAAAAAAAAAAAAAGAAATAGACTATTCTTGGGATAGAAATTGGTACGAATAAAGGCAATAGAGATGGGAGGTGCATTGTCGCTTCTCTGTGTCTACACACACTCCCAAGTAATAGTGAATAATCCAGTATGGATAGACTATAGCACACATGGAGAAGAGAAACGTGAAATAAGATTGAAAAACGGGCTAGACAAAAGTCTTTGCTGTTAGCCCGAGGAGTCTGGGCTTTATTTAGTAGGCAATTGGGAGAAATGGAAGGGTTTTGAGTGTGGAGCTGACACAATCAGATGTGTCATTATGGAAGACTGGAAAAGAAAGAGCTTGGGAGACAGTGGGAGGCTGCTAATCATAGTCAGAAACTGATTAGGATGCCATCTTCTAGGGCAGTGGCAATGGGAATAAAAAAGAAGGGGACAGATTAAAGTGATATTATAGAGATAGAATCAACTGGACTTGGCAACTGGACATAGATCATCAACTCCTCAAGGGCGAACACTGTCTTTTGCTTTTCTTTGTATCCCAAGCATTTAGCAGAGTGCCTGGCACCTAGCAGGCACTTAACAGATGTTTATTGACTGACTGACATAGGACTTGAAAGAGAGGGAAGAGGTGAGGACAGCAATGAGATTTAAGCCTGGGTGAGTGGTGGTGCCATTGACAGAAACGAGAGAATCAGGGTCAATCTGGAATAGAAAGATAATAATTTCTGTTATGAGCATGTTGAGCTTGAGGATTCATCGGATTTGAATCCAAACTCTTGGGACATAGAACTTGTATAAATTTGGTAATGGGCAGGTAGGTGGTGAAGTGGATAGCACACAGGGCCTCAGTCAGGAAGACTCCTCTTCCTAAGTTCCAATCCATCCTCAGACTCTTACTAGCTGGGTGACCCTGGGCAAGTCACTTAATCTCATTTGCCTCAATTTCCTCATCTGTAAAATGAGCTGGAGAAGGAGATGGCAAACCACTCCAGTATCTTTGCCAAGAAAAGCCCAAATAGGGTCAAGAAGAGTAGAACACACCTGAAATGACTGAACAACGACAAACTTGGTAACTCATTCAATCCCTTTGGACCTCAATTTCCTTAGCCATAAAATGAGGGGACTGGATTAAATTGTCTTTAAGGTCCCATCCAGCTTTAAATCCTATGATAACTGGTGAAAAGCAGAGCTTGAACTAAAATCCTTTTGACCCCAGCCCCATCCCACCTTGATCCTCTTTCCTATTCCTATCAGTACAGGAACTCCCAGAGAATGGGGACATATGGTTTCCCATAGGCAAGAAGGGCATGTGCTCCATCAAACCAAGAGTTCATCAAAGATGGCCATGTTTCTCCCTTACAGCTCAAGATGGGAGAGCATCTTAACAAAAGAGGTTCATCCATTTTATTTTCATTAATTCATTCCTTATCCCCAGATGAGAGTCTTCAAGCTGGCCAAGTCCTGGCCCACATTGAACATGCTCATCAAGATCATTGGTAACTCAGTCGGGGCCTTGGGAAACCTGACGCTGGTGTTGGCCATCATCGTCTTCATCTTCGCCGTGGTGGGCATGCAACTCTTTGGGAAGAGCTATAAGGAGTGCGTGTGTAAGATCAATTCCAGCTGCACCCTGCCCCGCTGGCACATGCATGACTTCTTCCACTCCTTCCTCATTGTCTTCCGCATCCTGTGTGGCGAGTGGATCGAGACCATGTGGGATTGTATGGAGGTGGCCGGTCAGCCCATGTGCCTCATCGTCTTTCTCATGGTTATGGTCATCGGAAACCTTGTGGTGAGTAAAGGAGAAAGGGAAGAAGAGAAGAGCCCTCAGGTCCTAATTCCCATAAATCAAAGACTATTAGAGGTGGAAAGGGCTTTAGTGATCATCTATCTAGTTCAGCTTGGCTCATTTAATGCGAGAGAATGAGAATCTGAGGAAAATATGACCTGTTAAGTGGTTGAAATCCAAGTCTCCCGATTCCCAGTCCAGAGTTCCTTTTGTTATGTTGTGCTGCCTCTTGTCAAACACATCCTCATCCTCCCAGTTTCCGTCATCCACTTATCCCAATGACAACCTGGAAATGGGTCAAAATGAGTCTCTCTCTTCCCTCCCCCAATACCAAGCTCCATTTGTTCCCTGTGAGTCAGGGTTTGGTATGTGGGGTTGTTTGGGAAAGGGAGCAGGGGATGGTTGGAAGAGGGAAGGGAATACACCAGTGAGGTTTGGAGCACAGTCCAGCTAACCAATATTTAATTGGTGACACGTGGAGGGGAGATTTCTCCCTCCTAACCTCGGAGGCATCCTTTGCTCAGAGTAATGGCACAGCACTCACCCCTGCTACCCCACTGGGAGTTCCCTACAACCTAGCACAGCAGACAGACACATTTGGGTACTAGCCCCATGGAGAAAAGTAGGGCACCCAACTCCTGCTGTCTGCTGTGCCTTGCCACGTGCTGTATGCCCAGCTGGCCTTCTGTGATGGTGGTGGTGGAGGGGCTCATTCCACATGTGTGAAATTCTTGGGTTGCTGGGTCAGCATCTTTCAAATGCCTTACAAATGCTGATCTCTGGGTGGGGAGAGGGGGAAGGAGGTACCAATGGGGGAAAAGGAAAGGAGAGAGGAGGAGAGACCAGGCCCCTAAAGGCAATAGGAAAGAGGAACCTTTAGGTTTGTTCTAGAAGACAGACAATACCTTGAAAGGAGTATAGAGAAAGAAGTTTAACCAGTGTTTGTGTTATGGAGGGGGAGGAAGGGGAAAGAGAGAAAGAGGGCTCTCATGACAACAATAGCTAGACCTCACATAGCACTTATTTTTATAGATTATTTCATTTAATCTTCACAATAACCCTATGAAGCAAGTATAATTATTATCCCAATTTTTTTTTTGCTTGTTTTTTGGTTGGGCAATAGGGGTTAAGTGATTTGCCCGGGGTCACACAGCTAGTAAGTGTTATGTGTCTGAGGCCGGAGTTGAACTCAGGTCCTCCTGAATCCAGGGCCGCTGCTCTATCCACTGTGCCACCTAGCTGTCCCCTATTATCCCCATTTTCAAGATGAGGAAAGGAAGGCTGAGATAAGGTCAAGTAAGTGTTGGAGGCAGGATTTGAACTCAGGTCTTTCTGGTTCTCAGTCCAACCCTATTCTATGCCTCACCTCCAGCTCTAACAATCTCTGACCAAACTGTCAGGGCAACTAGGCTATAGTGGATAGAGTGCTGGTCTTAGAGTCAGGAGGAGCCGAGTTCAAGTTTGGCCTCAGATACTTACTAACTGTGTGACCCTGGACAAGTCACTCTACCCCTTTGACTAAGTTTCCTCATCGGTAAAATGGAGATAATAATAACACTTACTTCCCAGGGTTATTGGGAGAATCAAGAAAGGTAATAATTGTAAAGTACTTTGACCAGTACCTGGCACATAGGAAGTGCATATAAATGTTAGTTGTTATCATTATTAATATTATTATTATCATTATTATTTTTGGGGAGAGACCCTGGGAGCAGGTGCAAGCTTTGACTTCCCCTCCAAGACCTTGGGAGCTCTGCTCTCTGCTCCCTCTTTCAGTCTATGTATGTCTTCATCCCACTCTCATAAAGAAGAGTGTTTGAAGTGAAGGTTTTGGGAGTTTGTATTATCTGGATCTGTAATTTCTTGGATTCAGGGAACTCCCAGTAAGGAAATTGCTTCTGCCAATGCAAATTGGCAAGTGTTCTACAATATATAACATTCCAGAGTTGCTTGAGGGCACTTAGCTGTGACTTACCCGGGGGTCACACAGCCAATATATCTGAAGCAGTACTCGAAGGCAGATTTTCCCAGACTCCAACGCTGCTGTACCAGGAGGGTTAGGGTGCGAATGAGGACGGATTCATAGATCTACAGAGCAGGAAGGGGGCTCAAAGGACATCTGGTCCAACCTCCTCATTTTGTGGATGAGAAAACAGAACCCCAGAGAGGGTGTGTTTGCCCAGAATTCATAGAGGGAGTAAGCTTCTGAAGTAAGATTCAAACCCAGTTCCTCTGATTCCAGAGGCAGTCCTCTTTCCACTGTACCATGCTGGGCAGTGTATATATTTGTGCCTCTATTTGTCAGAGCACATGTCTGAGTGTATGTGTTGATCTTCAGAGAATCATAGGATGTAGGACTGAAAGAGAGATGACAGAGATAGTCTGATCTCACCGGAGACCAGTTGAAAGAATTGGGCATGTTTAATGTGGAGAGAAGACTCAAGGGGAATGTATGCAAGAGCTGCCTTCAAGCACTGGAAAGGCTGTCATGGTGAACAGATGAGTAGATGTCTTCAGTTTGGCCCCAAGGGACAGCACCAATGGGGTTCGGAAATTACAAAGAGGAAATTTTAGGCTAGAAGGCAAGGACAATTTTTACACAATTTTTTGCTGTTCAGAAGTTAAATGGGCTGCTTTCTGGAGGTGGTGGGCCCTTCCACCTTGAAGACGTTCAAGCAGAGACTAAATGACCACTTGTTGGGTGCACTGTGGCAGGGATTCCATTCTTGTATGGATTGAATTGGGGCAGCTAGGTGGTGTAGGGCCTAGAGTCAGGAATACTCACTCATCTTCATGAGTTCAAATCTGGCCTCAGATATATGCTAGTTGTGTGATCCTGGCCAAGTCACTTAACTCTGTCTGTCTTAGTTTCCTCATCTGTAAAATGAGCTGGAGAAGGAAATGGCAAACCACTCCAGTATCTTTGCCAATAAAACTCTAAATAGGGTCATGAAGAATGGGACATGACTGAAAATGACAGAACAAAAATGGATTAAATTAGATTTCTGCTGAGGTCCCTTCCAGCTCAAGTTCTGTGATATAGCCTAACACCTATCATTTTGCAGTTGAGGAAACTGAGGCTAACAGAGGTTAAGAGACTTGTCCAAGGTCACACCAAAGGGATTTCAAATCCTATGATATTTTCACTGTACTACCCTGTCAATTAATCAGGGTCAGGCAATACAGGAGCTGTATGATATGTACACTATGTGGGCACAGTGTTTGCCAATCAGCGATGCACTGTGTGTTCTAGATCTGTGTATGTGTGTGTGTGTGTTGGTGTGTCATAATAATAATAACAATAGCAACAATAATAATAGCTAACACTTATATAGCACCTACTCTGTGCCCAGCACTATGCTGAGTGTAACTTTACAAATATCTCATCTGGCCTTTATGACAACCCTAGGAAGCAGGTATTATTGTTATCTCCATTTCACCAGTATTGTGCACATTTTTTTTGTGTCTATGGTTGTGTCTTGTCTTCATCTATGAATGTGAGTTGTTTGGAGGGGAGGAAACGAAGGAAGCCATAATGCATATGATGCGATCCTATCCAATCCAACAATCATTCGGGTGCCCTACTAGGTACAAGGCACTGTGCTGGGGACCAAACAAAATGAAGAATTGTCCCTGCCCAAACGGGCTAGCCTAGGGGATCCAACATGCACTGTGAGTGTGTACATGTATGCGTTTTATGTGTGTGGCACAGGAAGGAGATATATTGGCAGGAATGGCGATTCTGCCTGGCCTAAGTGTTCAGGAAACTCTCAAGAACACACCTTCCTGTGCCATCGTTTTCACAGTCCTCTTCTGTTTGAGCCCTTCAGTTCAGGAGTCTCATACACTGAAGGGCAGGACGGGGGCATTGTGATGACTGAGCTTCTGTGCCCCCATCCCCCACCCTTTCTCCAGGATGGGTCATCTCTCCAGGAGGGGGTGGGGAACAGGTGTGTGTCTGGAGGGAAATATGCCAGCAGCTGTAGGGACCCGGTGCGTGCCCCCCTCCCCAGCTTCCCCCCTCTCTGTGTCTACTGTCATTTCCTTTGGGTTATTATGGGAAAAGGAGAGGAAGTAACTCAGGGTGACACAGTAACCCAGCCCTGTCCCTGGCTCTACAGCAGCCCCCAGTGTGAGAGCAGTTCTTTTCAATCACGCTGTACTCACCCACCCCAAAGCTACTTCACACACACACACACACACACCACACACACAACACACACACACACACACACCCTACCCTGACTGAAGCAGCTATTTCTGTACCAAGGCAGGAGCCGTGCGCAAACCCTGCTGACCCAGAGAGCAGCTAATTCCCATCTCATGTGTGCTTCTGGCAACTGGTGGCCACTCCACCCCCTACCCCAGCCCCCTGCTCTCCCCTTCTTGACAGCTGGGAGCCCTGATTTTGCCTGCTCCATAAGAACAAAGACATCAAGGGAGAGGGGCAGGGAAAGACAGAGGCAGAGAACAGGGGGCATGGGAGGGGAGGGACAGGGACTAGGGCCAAGAAAGGATGGGGCGGGGACAAGGGGCAATGAAGGATGGGGTAGAGACAGGGGACAGAGGCAGGGGGGATGGGAGCAGAGACTAGAGGCAGCGGCAAGGAGGGAAAGGGGCAAAGAGAAGGGGCAGGGAAAGATAGGGCCATAGACAGGGAACTGAGGTCAGAAAAGGATAGGGATAGAGACAAGGGACAGACAGAGAAGGGGGAGGAGACAAGGGGCAGGGGATAGGGAAGGATGGGGCAGAGACAAAAAGGACAGGGCAGTGGAGGGGAAAAGCCAGGGTCAAGGAAGGACAGAGACAAGGTGAAGGTGCAAAAGGGAGGGCAGAGTCAACTGTCCAGATCCAAAGGGATCCAGAGGGAGATTCCTACCAGAAACTGCGTCCAGCTACATCTGTCTCCTTGTAGCTCATTGCACCTAACGCTGCCATACAGGGAAAAGCAAAATAAATCTAAAACCTTCTTCCCTGTGACAGCCTTTTAAATACTTGAAGTTGGCTTGTGCCCTGCCTACTCCTCTTATGTAGGCTAACCATCTTTGCTTCTTTCAGCTGATTCCTCCACGGCTCAGGCTCATGACCTTTCCCCTCTGTGCATGACCTCAAGCTTATCAACGTCCTTCTTAACATATGGCTTCTCACACCTGAACATGACATTCTGATCAGAGTACAGCAGGTCCGTCACCTCCTTAGCTTGTTCACTATTCTTCTTAATGCAGTCTAAAACTGACTTAGGTTTTTGTTTTGTTTTGCTGCTAGATCATACAGTTGACACATAGTAAGATTTCAGTTTGCTAAAAACAACAGAAACAACCCCAGATCTTTTGCAGAGGAAACACTGTTTAGTTAGGGATTGGAAAGGAAGAAAGTAAGGGAGGAAAGCCTTCCAAGGATGGGAATGAACTAAACCAAGATACAGATGGATTCAGGGCAGAATTAACAAACTGACTTAGCTAAAGCAGAGGCGCTGGGTGAGGGCATAATAAGAGGGTCATCCTGGGACATGGAGTGTCGGGATCATACCTAGGGAATGCAGGGCTCAAGGCAAAACAGATATTGTATACCACCCCTATCAGCCTCGATCAATGTACACAGATGAAAACTTATTCAGTAAACTTCAAGGATGCTCTAAAGGGTGTGTAAGTGGTGAGTGGTGGTGGTGGTTACATTCAGCCCTCCAGAGTGCTCTCCATCTTCATATGCTTTTTGTTATTCAGTTTTGTCAGACATGTCGTGACTCTTTTTGGGGTTTTCTTGGCAAAGGTACTGGAGTGATTTACCATTTCCTTCTCCAGCTCATTTTATAAATGAGAAAACTGAGGCAAACAGAGTTAAGTGACTTGCCCAGGGTCGCACAACTAGTATGTGTCTGAGGCCACATTTGAACTCAGACCCTCCCGATTCCAGGACCAGTGCTCTATCCACTGCACCATGTAGCTGCCTCTACCGGCCTAGAATATTGAGAGGTTAATTTGCCCAAGGCCACACAACCAGTTGTGTCAGATGTGAGACTTGAACCCAGGTCTTCTTGGCTTCAAGGACAGCTCTTTATCCACTGCACTATACAGCCTTTCACCTAAACCTTAACTGTTAGCACCAATCTCATCCACTGCCTCCCTGAAGCTCTAGCTTCAGTCAGGTAATCTGTGGTAGCCCTCTTACACACTCCCAATAAATGGAAGATGGGTAAGGAAAGAGGAAGGTGTGAATAAGGAATCTTCCAGCAGAGGGTATTGGCTACAGATGGCAGGAGGTTGGGGGAAGTAACCTGAAATGAGAAAGGCTGCTTAGCATAATGGATAGGGTATCAGACTTAGAATTAGGAAGACTGAGGCTCAGATCTTGCCACAGACACTTACTAGCTATGTGACCCTGGACAAGTCATTTAACCTCTGTTTGCCTCAGTTTCCACATCTGTAAAATGAAGGGACTAGACTCAGTTACCTCTAAGGTCCCTTTTCAGTACTAAATCAAACATATCCTCTAACACTAAATCTAACATTCTTTCTACTATACCACTCTGACTCCTAAAATAAAAACAGAACAGAAAACTGCTAAAAGGAACTGGGGAAATAGATGTTGCCAGACACCTGGGATGAGTTCATTGCCACAGCTGGACATGAAATAATAGCTCTTTGTTGACACAGCTGGATATGGAATGTTAGCGCTGAGGGTCCTGGCAGCCAAGGCAAAAGGGGAAAAATTTGGATTTATTTATTTATTTCTCATTGTCTGGTCATAGGATCACAGAAGGTTACAGTTAGAAGGGAGAGACCATACAGTCCAACCTCCTAATTTTAGAGAAGGGAAATCTGACCACTGGGCAGGGAAGATGACTTGTCTAAGGTCACAAAGCTTGTGACTGCTGGGCCATCTCTAGTTGTCCTGATCCATATCTGGCCACTGGACCCAGATGGCTTTGGAGAAGAAAATGAGGCTCATGACTTTTCACAGCCCTCCCTCACTGTAATCCAGTTCATTTGCAAGTCATAGCATCATCTTCCTGATGTCATGGTCCTCTTTGAGAACAAAGGGCAAGCCACACACAGCTTTGTGACTAGCTGGTAGCAAATCCAGGATTAGAACCCAAGTCCTCTGCCTCAGTGGAACCATAAGTAGATCTGACAGGATGAGTTCACATTTTCCTATCCCTAAATTCACTTTAAAATTTAATTTATCACTTCAATTAACAAGCATTTATTTGCTATCCCTCCCGCCCACCCACCTCCATTTAAAAGAAAAAAGGAAAAGGAAACTCTGTAATAAATATGCATAATCAATTTAGACAAATTCCCACACTGACCATTTCCGAAAATCTGTGTCTCATTCTACACCCTGAGTGCATCATCCTTCTGTCAGGAGTCGGGCAGCCTTCTTCATTGTTCCTTGGAATCATGTATTGGTCAGAGTTCTTGAGTTATCACAATTCTTTGTCTTTACAATGTTGCTTGTTACTGCATAAATTGTTCTCCTGCTCTTTTCATTCTGTATCAGTTCATACTTCCCAAGTTCCTCTGAAATTGTTCCTTTCATTATTTCTTTTTTTTTCAGATTTTATTAATTTATTTTTAGTTTTCACCTTTCATTATTTCTTATAGCACATTAGTATTTTATTACATTCATACACCATAATTTGTTCAGCCATTCCTGAGTTTAGCCATTCCTTTACTTTCCAGTTTTCTCCCACTACTGAAAAGTACTGCTATAAATATTTTTGTATACATGAGTCCCTTTCTTCTTTCTTTGATCTCTTTGTGGTACCCTTCTAGGAGTGGCATTTTGTTGTTGTTTTAGTGGCTTGCCATTTCCTTAACCAACTCATTTTACAGATGAGGGAACTGAGGCAAACAGGGTTAAGTGACTTGATCAGGGTCACACAGCTAGTAAATGTCTCAGATCAAATTTGATCTCAGGTCTTCCCGATTTCAGGTCCAGCAGTCTATCCACTGTGACACCTACCTGCTCCAGGAGTGCCATAGCTAAGTTAAAGGGTATACATTGTTTATTGACTTTGGAGACATAGTTCCAAATCGTTCTACAGAATAGCTAGACCAATTCACAACTCCTCCAACAATGCATTAATAATGCCTGTTATCCTGCAGCCCCTCCAGCACTTGTCATTTTCCTGTTTTTGTCATGTTTGCCAGTCTGAGGGCTATGAAGTAGAACCTTAGAGTTGCTTTAATTTGCATTTCTCTAATTACTAGTGATTTAGAGGATTTTTTCATGTGACTATTGACAGCTTAAATGTCTTCCTTTGAGAACTGCCTCTTCATTTCCTTTGACCACTTGTCATTTGGGGGCTTCTGACCCTGAATTCAAGAAGGAATTTATCCCATGGAAGCTTCCATAAGGACAGTGATCAGTGTAATGGACAATGTCTTCAGCTATGATTTTGCATGAGACATTTGAAATGTTCATTTCTGAGATCCACCCTTTTTTTCATTTATTTATTATTTTATTTTCCCCAAATTACTTGTAAAAATAATTTTTAACATTTATTTTTAAAGTTTTGAGTTCCAAATTCTTTCCCTCCCTCCCCACCCCCCTTATTGAGAAGGCATGCAATTTGATCTAGGTTATACATGTGTAGTCATGAAAAACAAATTTCCATATTAGTCATGTTGTAAAAGAAAACATAGACCAAAAAATAAAACACACAAGAAAAATAAAGTTAAAAAGTATCTCTATTCAGATTCTAGTAGTTCTTCCTCCAGGGAGAGATAGCATTTTTCATCATAAGTCCTTCAGAGTTGTCTTGGATTGTTGTATTGCTGAGAATAGCTGTCATTCACGGTTTATCATCATATAATATTTTTGTTACTGTATACAATCTTCTCCTGGTTCTCATTTCACTTTGCATCAGTTCATGTAAGTCTTTCCAGGTTTTTCTGAGATGCTCATCATTTCTCACACCACAATAGCATTCTATCACAATCATATACCACAATTTGTTAAGCCATCCCCCGTTGATAGACATATCCTGAGCTCCATCCTTTTTAAAAATTGGTGCTATAAGATTAAACCCGTGAAGCCACATCGGTAAAGGAGTCAGTAAATGAGACAAGGAATAGATAAAGTTAGAGAGGTAGGAGGGACATCAAGAGAGCATGGTATCCTAGAACATGAATTGACACGGAGGCAAGAAGATTTCAGAAGGAATAGGAAATGGCCAGTAGTACCAAACACACCAGGGGCAAAAAAGAGTAAGAATCGGATTTAGCCAAGGGGAGGAGGTTGTCAGTCCTCTAGAGTACAGTGGGAGTAGAATGTTGGCAAACAGAGCTGGAATTTCAGGATTTATTCTCTTTTATTAGGAGTGAGGAAATGGAGACCACCCTTCCTAGAAATGGTGTCAGGGAAGACAGGAGACAAATAGGACAGGTGCTGTTGGGGATGTTAGGGTCACAGAATGATTGTGTTTCTTTTAGAAAGCAGCACAGTCTAGTGGAAAGAGTGTTGGGCTGGTAGTCAAGGATTCCTGGGTTCAAATCTCAGCTGTGACATTTACAGCCTATGCGAACTTGGACAAATTGCTTTCAACTCGCTGAGCCTGACTGCCTCATTTTGTTATGAAGGGTGTAATGACACTTCTATGAGAGGCAGGATGGAATAGTGGATGGAGAGCTAGCTTCAAAGTCAGAAAGACCTGGATTCAAATCCCACCTGGGATACAAACTGGCTAGAGGACCCTGGGCAAGTCATATAACCTCCCTGCGTTCCAGGAGACTAAATTATAAAGAAGGTGCTCTGTGGAGTTTTCATATTCAGGAATTCCCTTTACTAATGAAATCTGCCCCAATACCTAGTAACACTTGTTACTAGTAAAGAGGCAGCTAGGTGGCTCAGGAGATAGAACATTGGGCATGAAAGATCAGAGTTCAAATCCCACCCCAGATACTGACTAGCTATGTGACCCTGAGAAAGTCTCTAAATCTGTCACTGCTGCCTCAGTTTGCTCATCTGTAAAATAATGAGAATAGTAGCAACTACCTCCCAGGGTCATTTTAAGGATAAAATCAGGAAAAATTTGTAAAGCACTTTGCAAATCTTTAAGCACTATGTAAAAGCTTGTTATTATTTTTTTACTCCTTTCCTCACAGGATAGTTATGAGGAAAACGCTCTGCAAAATTATAGACTTGTGGATGACTAGTGCTACTTACTGGGCAGCTAGGTGGCGCAGTGGATAGTGTCAGGCTTGGAGTCAAGAAGACTCATCTTTTTGGGGGTGGGGCTAGGCAATGGGTTAAGTGACTTGCCCAGGGTCACACGGCTAGTAAGTGTTATGTGTCCAAGGCTGGATTTGAACTCAGGTCCTCCTGAATCCAGGGCTGGTGCTCTATCCACTTTGCCACCTAGCTGCCCCTTCTTTTTTTTTTCCTAATTATTTATTTATTTATTTTTAGTTTTCAACATTCACTTCCATAAGATTTTGAGTTTTAAATTTTCTTCCCCTCCTTTCCCTCCCCCCTCCCCAAGATGGAGTGCAATCTGATATAGGCTTTACTTATACATTCATATTAAGCATATCGTCACATTAGTCATGATGTAAAGAAGAATTAAAACTAATGGGAGGAACCATGACAAAGCAAAAACAAAACAAAATAACAAAAGAAAAGGAGAGCAAATAGTATGCTCCCATCTGCATTCAGACTCTATAGTTCTTTCTCTGGATGTGGATAGCATTTTCTATTATGAGTCTTTTGGAGTCAGGAAGACTCATCTTCTTAGTTCAAATCTGGCCTCAGACACTTACTAGCTGTGTGACCCTGAGCAAGTCACTTAACCCTGTCTGCCTCATTTTCCTCATCTATAAAATTAGCTGGAGAAGGAAATGGCAAATCACTCTGATACCTTTGCCAAGAAAACCTCAAATGGAGTCACAAAGAGTCAAATACAGGGGCAGCTAGGTGGCGCAGTGGATAGAGCACCGGCCCTGGATTCAGGCGGATCTGAGTTCAAATCCAACCTCAGACACAACACTTACTAGCTGTGTGACCCTGGGCAAGTCACTCAACCCCATTGCCTGAACAAAACAAAACAAAACAAAGAGTCAAATACAACTGAAAGAACTGAACAAAGCACTACTTACTATTTGTAGTAGTATTGTAAGGGAAATGTATATCTATATGTCAAGGATTTCTGATGGTGCCCACTTCCAGTGCTAGTGGAAACTCTCAAACCTTTTGTAACTTGTAGTCTTAGACAGTTGCCATGTTAACACAGTTTATAAATACTCAATTTTCCTGACTCCAGATCTAGTTTTCTATTCATTGTATGACTCTGCCTCTCTCAGGTATATCTAGGCATGTTTAAAGGAGGAAATTTTTAAAAATGTAAGTTGTCATGTAAATTCCATTTCAATTCAATATATGTATCATTATAAATATGATCATGATGCATTTTCAGTATGCTAGCCATTGTTATTTTTATTTTTTCTTTGTAAATATATTTTGGCTCTTTATTATAAGACGTTTAAATATTTGATTGGTTGAATCTTAAAATAAAAACAAGCAAAGCAAGGAAAAAAAGGATTAACTGGAGGTGGGCCTGAGTCTAGAATCCTCAAAACAGGGGAGAGATGGAGTGCTCCTCCCCATCATCATGTCTCCATGATGTGTTCCACCTGCATCCACAAGTTCCTCTTTACAAGTCCAAACTGGAAAAAAGCCTGGTTGGTCTCTTCCTAGACAGGTCCTGGGTGACCTGCTGTTCTGCATCTCCTCCTCCGATGTGGGTGAGAAAAAGAAGTGACTGCTCATCAATCCCTGTTGCCTGGTTTGGGAGGTGGGCATAGGTTCTGCCAGTCTTTCCCTGCCTCAGACAGATGTGGAGGGGCCACAGAGTTGCCAAGGGATGGTAGGGCCCCTGCTTAGAGGGCACAAACTGGCCCTGAATGAGCTCAGTCACAGTTTCCTTTCCCTCCAGGTCCTGAATCTGTTCCTTGCCCTGCTCCTGAGCTCTTTCAGTGCCGACAGCCTGGCAGCCTCAGACGAGGATGGGGAGATGAACAACCTTCAAATTGCTATCGCTCGCATCTCCTGGGGCATTGATTATGCCAAGGCCTTCTTCCTGGCCCTCTTACATGGTCAGATCCTGGCTCCTGGGGACATGAAGCAGGGACCTGAGAAGGCTGAGGATGAGGAAGGTGGAGCAGAAGAGAAGAAGGAGCAGCAGCAGCAGCAAGAGGAAGAGGAAGAGTTAAAGAAGGACAACCACATCCTGAACCACATTGGGGTGGTGGAATGCTCACCGACTAGTATTGAACTTGACCACATGAACTTCATCAACAACCCATACTTGACAGTGCAGGTGCCCATTGCTTCTGAGGAGTCTGACCTCGAGATGCCCACAGAAGAGGAAA